CACAGCAGTGCACTGTGACTACATGTTATGTCTACGCATAATGGAGTCAAAGCCTAGGTTAGGTGGTGGCCAGTTTGTCTGCTAAGCAACATTTGGTGTGCATGCTTTGGAGCAAAACTACTGACTAAATAAATAAATAAATAAATTTTCAATGTCAAGAGTCTGTCAGCAAGAAAAAAATCTGTGAAATTTTGTACATGTTATCCGTTCATGCTAATGGTGGAGTTAGTATATAGTCACTTCATAATGCCAGTACCACAGAACTCTGGGAATTTACCTACTTGTAGAAAGGACTCTCGTTTTTCTATTCTATTTCTTTTTTGGTAGTCCCAAGTGAGGAAAAAATATTTTAAGCCTCTTGGGGGAACTCAAGTAATAAATAAAAAAAAAATGTCACTTTCAAAGTTAAAAAAATATTTGAACCTCTTTCTTGAAGGCAATGTAAGTAACTTCCAACCATACTGAATATTTGGCCTAGATGGGTTTTCTCCTCCATTTCTTTACTTGTTACAGAATCTGAAATAGCTGGGACCATGGCAGTCATACACTGTGTACAATACAGGAATATGTTTCTAAGATCTCTGGCAGGTGCTCATACAGTCTTTACTTAACTGTTTCTAACAATGGGTAGCTCATTATCTTTAAAAGAAGTTTATCTCCTCTTTAACACTTTTGAGTACAAATTGTTAGAAGTTTCTTCTTATACTAAGGCAATATTTGTTTCCCATTCACATACCAGTTCTGACACTGCCCACTGGAGGAGAATTACATAGTTCCTAATGAGGAGTTTATAAAGGCAAGGATAGAACAATTCATTCTATCTCATTTAAAAATTAATCACAATGACAACAGCTATAATTTACATGTCATAATAAGTCCCTATTTTTCTCAAAATTAATATTGGAGCAAATGATTTTACAGCCTTTCCAGTGAACCATATTGTTTCAGACTTCTAGTTTAAGCCCATAGCAACAAATATCTTTATTTTGGTTCTCTAAAAAAAGTAATAGGAGTGTACTGGGGGTGGGCATACAAAATGGTCCTGCCACAGTATGGAAAACAGTATGGAGGTTCCTCAAAAAATTAAAAATAGAACCTATAATCCAGGAATTCTACTTCTGGGTATTTATCTGAAGAAAATGTAACACAGGTTTGAAAAGATATGTGTACCTCTATGTTCACTGCAACATTATTTATAATAGCCAAGATAGGGAAGCAATTAAGTGTCCATCAATAGATGAATGAATAAAAAAGATGTGGTATATAGTATATACAATGGAGTATTAGTCAACCATTAAAAAAATGAAATTTTGCCATTTGTAGTAAGATGGACAGACCTAGAGGTATCATACTAAGTGAAAAAAGTCAGATGGATAAAGACAGATATCATACAATTTCACTTATATAGGGAATCTAAAAAACAACACAAAGGAACAAACAAAACAAAACAGAAACAGCCTAACAGCTATAGAAAACAAGTCAGAGGGGAAGGGGTGGAGATGGGCAAAACAAGGAAAGGGGATTAAAAGATATAAACTTCCAGATATAAAATAAACGAAAAACAAGAATGCAATGTGCAACACAGAAAATAGGTAATAACATTGTAATAACTTTGTATGGTGACAGATAGTAGCTAGATTTATCATGGTGATCATTTCATAATGTATATAAATACTGAATCACTATGTTGTGCACCTAAAACTAATATAATAGAGTATGTCAGCTGTACTTCAATTTAAAGAAACAAAAGAAGTAATATTAGGCATTTGAAGATAAAGGACAAAACATTGACCCTCAACTGTGGCCTCTCAGTTAGTGAGAAACTATTTCTTTGGTTACATATCTTGATGTAGAACCAGAAATCAAGCTTATAGGACACTTCAAAGGATGAAATAATCTTTAAAAGGCAATAGGCTAACATTTGCTGTATTCATGTATTCCCAATGAAGTGCCATTAGTCCATTGTAGATATGATGAATATATGAACAAAGAAAATCATCTTTCTAGAACTGTGGTAACTAAAGTTAACCAGCAGTTACATTTATGGTAAAATCCAAGACTATATACCACCATTTCAACAATATTTTTTTAAGAAGATATGGATATAAGGTAAACTTTTTTTATGGGGCATTACAAAAAAAGTTCTAAATTTCTGTTCCTAAATTCATTCATCTATGGAATGAAAAAGCATAGCTATTTTATAGACTGAGCCATGTTAAATTCTGAGCTCATCTAAGAAAGATGACAAAGCAGATACCCAAGTATTTTTTTTTTTTTTTTTTTTTTGCTGTGCTGATGATTACTTTCTATTTCATAAGAGGAAATAGACCTGTGGTGAGGTTCATGTCTACTGATAATCTCCAAGAAGGGAATATGCAGTACATCGTGTTTTCTGCCTTCCCAAGATTTAGGGTGGTGTCTTCCTCCAGAAGGAAGATTACATTAGAGATGCATGAAATGGAAATACTAAAGGGGTCCTGGATTTGCAGACCCTACCCCTCTCCATCTTCAACCCATAAGCATGAATTTTGCAATTAGTTGTTTCTGAGTTAGCCAAGTTTGAAGGTTTTTGGAACCACCTTTACTGCCCCACCTTTAAGCTTCAAATTACTATTCTATACTATACAGCAAAAAAATCCCAATTATGTCCCATTAAGAAATGTATCGTTTTGACAAAGAGCAACCATTACCTATGGTGAACAGTAGGGATACCTCAAAGTAGTCCAAGTCACCTTCTTCCCACCCTAAGAGAAAAACCAGTGTATCAGCTACACTTAACTGGCTGACCCCTTCAACCTCTTGAAATAACCACTTAGCAAAAAGTTTGTAGAACTCCTTTGTGGATTACAATGAACCATGTAAGCCCATTTGTGTCCTTCCTCTAATTTATAGTCCCAGGAAAAGATTATAAAAACAAAAAACAAAAAACATTGTTTACATTGCCCAGGGGACTGGCTGAGTCTCAGCTTGCCAGAGCCCGGCTGGCGAGCAGAACCAGAGAGTCTTCTGTACTAGTGGATTCTCCAATGGCAAGTGAAAACACTACTGAGGCTTCAATTGGGGCCAGCTGCCTGTCCCTCCCAAACCCCTCAACCATGAGGCACCCACAGGGCTTGCCCCTAAGTGAGAAAGCAGACCCCACCCAAAGAGACCACAAATGAACCCTCCCTGAGTTACTACCCTCAGCTGTGCTAAGAATGACAATAAACCTGCCTTACGGGGAGGAAGCATCCCCAGACTGCTGTGCGAAACATCAGGAAAACATTTGGGTTTGTAGAGGATGCCATGAACGGTTGGCCCTTCAAGCAGCAAGGCAGCCAAACTAGTTTGGTAGCAGGCCATTACCAAGGGTCTGATCTTCCCTAACTAGGGAGTTCAAAATATACATGGGGATTTTGACCTTCAAAACACCATTCTGCAGAATGGTGTCATTATTGCACAAACATAAAATTTTTGTTTAAACTATAACATTGTCTTCTGTGTCGGGAATAAAGATTGAATATATGCCAGATTGACTAATTGGATTCTTCAGGATCAGTGGTTCACAAATTTTCCTCCATGAAGGCTGGATATCAATGCAGAAGACCAGGCCCACTGCCTCCCAAGTGAGGTAAGGGAGATGAGAGAAAGCCAAGTTCCAGTCCCCTCACCTTTGCCTGAGCCACAGCAGTTTCACTTTTGTCTGCTTTATCTATTGGTATATAAGCATGATTTGGTTTAACAGAAGTTCTACTTTAACAAAAAGATTACAAAGAACTTAGGTACACTTTCAGTTCCCATGGCAAATTCATGTAAGCTTGTTTTGCCCTCTCTTTTAATTCTAGAGCCAGGAAAAATGTGTCCAAATCAAAACAATGCAAAATAAAACTAAACCCAAACCTACTTGCCAAGTAAAGAGGTCTAACTAATTTGTGAACATCAAAAGAAATTTGATTCATGATGTGCCCTCTGGGCAATTAGAAATCACATGAAAGATGGACATTTAGTTCATTCTGTCTCAGTGTAGTAGTTATTCTATAAGAAACAGAATTGATTGTTCTGGTCTCTCCAGGGTGATAGTAGAGGAAGCACCATCACACTAGTACTGTTATCAATTCCGAATTCCAAGGCTTCTGGATGCACTTAACACTGAAGATGTTTTGTCACAGACTATGTAAGATCCTGGAAAAGGGTACTCAGAGAACGTAACAAACGTTTCTTTAGGATCTGCTTTATGTCAGGTGATGTTCTAAGCACGTTTCATACATTATCTCATGTAATCCTCAAAGAATTCTTATAATGAAGATATTATTAATATACTTTACAAATGGATAAACTGGGCCCAAGAGGCTTAAGTGACTTGTCCATAGTTACATGACAGGTTTCCTGGGCTCTCTGAAGCACTTGAACTCTGCAGGGAATAGATCTGAGTTTGAATCCTGATTCAACCCCTTATTGCATGAATTACTTAAAGCAAGTCATTGCCCACCCTGAGTCTCAGTTTCCACATCAGTAAAATGAGGAGCCCTTTCCAGACTTAAAACTCCTTTGATACTGGACCTGACATCACAATGGTAGCAGTTAAGCAAAAGAGCAAACACTTGAGCCATCCTGCACATAAAAACTATGCAGGTTTGCTAAAAAGATAAAGAAAACTTAAAGTATTATCTTCTTTTAATTAATATTCGTAGCAGCCTCCAACCTAAGCGAATATTTAAGGAAAGACTAGGTTTGGGCATAGACAAGATCCTTGACTACAGGTTTCTGAGAACTCTAGAATTAACACAAATAAAGTACATGCTGCATGAGTTGATGCTAAGGAGTGTGGGGCAGAGTCCAGAGACACATCAGAATCCAGAAGGATCTGTGGGGTCAGGAATTGTTGGGGAAACTTTAGGAAGAGGTTGAGATGTGTAGGTGGACCAGGTATGAAAAGAGGAGAGGCTTCAGGGGCTGGGTGGAACTGTGAAGAAAGCAGTTTCCCCTCTAAAGCCAGGCCACTGTGTGTTTGATTTGCACAGACAAGCCCACGGGGTATGGTTCAAGCAGTCGGAGGGCACCTCAGACAGGCATTGTGGACGAATGCTGCTTCCGGAGCTGTGATCTGAGGAGGCTAGAGATGTACTGCGCACCCCTCAAGCCTGCCAAGTCCGCCCGCTCTGTCCGTGCCCAGCGCCACACCGATATGCCCAAGGCTCAGAAGGTAAGCCAGCTGGTGGGGAGGGATCCACCATCCTCAAGATATTGAGGATACTTGTGGGTAGGCCAGACAGAAATTATGCCCCACAATCTCCTGGCTTACAGGTCAGAAAAGCACCATTCTCACCTCAGATATCCATCCCTTTGGTCACTCCACATTGCAAATTCTCCTTTCCACTGCTCTGGACAATCTGATACCAGAAGACAATGGAGAACAGTCACTAAACATGAGCCTTGGTATCAGACAAAACTGAAGTCCTAGCTTCACCAGTCACCAGCTGAGAGCCCTTGGCCAAATAACATAGCCTATCCAAACCTTAGTTTCATCAGTAAAATTGGAATAATATCTACTGCATCAAGTTGTTTTAAGAATTAATAAATAGACATGCACTTCTTTTCACATCCTGCACAAATTAACTGTTGGACAAGTGTTACCATCTTTCATAATTGTAATTAATAACAAAGCATGTAACTTTTCAAGTCCTAGTATTCTGCAAAGGTGTGAAAAAATATATGTTAAAATGGAAACTACTTGAAATTCACATTCAGTAACAAATTCACTTAAAGAAAAACCCCACTAAACATAGAAATTTCTGTTTGGCTCTAGGAATACCTAGAAATTTCTAATGATTAAAATCTGTAGGTGTCTTTATCTATGACCTATAGTTCAAAGAAACCTTACAACTACTATCTATGCCATCAAAAGTACATAAATCATCTCATGCATATTAGTCACTTTATAAATTTTGTTGAATGAGTGAATAAATGAGTGAAAAAATGAGAAGTGCTTAAATTTTAGTCCTGAAGTAGAAAGAATAAGAACTGAAGAGTAAGGGGTAGGTGAAGGAGAAAAAAGAAAGTGAGGAAGGGTGGGTAAGAAGAGTAAAGTCCAAGTAGGTCTCCTTGGGAACACTGTTTGAAAAACCAAAACCAGAAAACAAAAACAAAAAACTGTGGTTTTACTCTTTGGAGCCAAAACTAGCATTTTGCAGAAAGCATAAGAAGAGAAACCAAGAAGTTCACAGTGACACATGTGCTGATTCCTGGTCGGCAGCTGAGCCTGGAGGATGACCAGGGAGCTTAGGGGAGAAGTGACCCCAGGGAGCCACCATGAATGATGGAAAGGGCTTGGGCACAATCTGGTGCACAGAGAACACAGTAACCAGTGGGTAAGTCAGGGAGCAAGCATCACAGAAGTAACTTAAGTGAATGTGTTTGAGAAGTGTGCTTGAGGGGACAAAGGCAGGTTAATTCTTTCTCTTCCCAGGTGACCCAGTACCTCAAAATTTCGAGCTGGGGATAGGGTGGGGGTCAGAGATAAGTCCCAGAGTTCTAGAAGTTTGGGTCTTTTGGCTGTGGCCTAGACATCCCTCCAGCACCAATGTTGTCTCCTGTACCACATGGAGCCCAGGCATTCTGGGCTGACTCAAAGGCTCTGTCACACCAAGGGAACCACCTGTTCTCAATACAATTATTTTTGTGATGTTTACAGTATCATCCCCCATCTACCACCAAGAAAACGAAGTCTCAGAGGAGAAGGAAAGGTGGGCCAAAGAAACGCCCAGGAGGGGAACAGAAGGTGGGGACGGAAGCAAGTCAGCAGATGAAAGAAGAAAGAGCAGAGAAGGGAGACTGGAGCTAGAAACTGAACACAGAGGCAAAAAAAGGAAACTGGAGGAGAGAAGGACTAAGCAGACAGAGGCAAGGACGATGAGAGAGAAGCAGACAGCGATAAAGAAAAGTGGGAAGTGCTATAGAGGAATGAAGAACAGTAGGCCTGGTGGAGTAGATAATGCATGTGATGGAAGGAGAAGGAACCTGTTGTAGAATGTGGATAACAAACATGGAGATAATGGAAAAGAAAAATGTAATGCCCAAGGAAGTCCAAAGGAAAACAGAGGCAAGAATGAAAAAAAGAACACAAATAATGAAAGAGGCAAATAAGATACTACATTCCCCTCAAAAAAAAAAAAAAAAACAATTAAATAAGAGTAAAAGAATTAAGATAGAAATCAAGTCTTTTATATGCATTTTAAAACTTTGTGTGAAGCTATTATAGAAGAATTGCCCAGGTCCATATATGTCCAGAGTTAAATATTAGCCCAAAATTCTCAGCAAGACTGAATTGTGTCATAGAAGTTCCCAGATTTTCTTTCCTGCAGTGTCATTGGAGGCTGGGAGTCTTAGTCAAGTCCAGGTTCAGGCCAAAGGGCACAAAGTATTTGCCTAAAAGCTTGTGAGGCCAGTGAGGTAACCTACAAGAGAAGGTCACTGAACCTTTTGGTTTTTTTGCACTTTGGAATCAGATATAAAAATGTGTTAGTTGTATCAGTCTCTTGGGCTGCCATAACAATGTACCACAGACTGGGTGGCTTAAGCAACAGATATTTTCATACCTTTCTGGAAGCTAGAAGTTCCTATATCCAAAGAGGACATGTTTTAGATAATGAGAGTCAGGACTTTAACAAATGAGTGGCCAAGGAGAGACACAATTCAGGCCATAACAGAAGACTTCTGATGTCTGATTACTGCCTTCTAATCCTATCTTCTATAAAACTCTGTGTGTATGTCTATCTCTCTCTGTGTGTATGTCTATCTCTGTCTCATATGCGCGCGCGCGCACACACACACACACACACACACAAATTTAGGTTTTCAGATATGAAATCTTGTAAGTTTCTGTTCCATGGAAACACTAGGACAAAAAGCTTCTGAAGTTGATGGGTTCAATCCCTTCACTTTAAAGATAAGAATACTGAGATCCATACAAGAGTAAAGGCATGCTTGAGTTCTAAGCTGCCCTCCTTCTGGCCAGCAGAGAAGAGCACATAATCAACATGGACTAAGAAATAATTCCAAAAGGAGAAGACAGGGCAGAAATAGATGGCACATGAAATCTTCTTAATAGTTTTCCCTGAAGGTAAAAAAAAGCCAAGTAGAACCACAGAATTCAGGTCTTGTAAATCTTCTCCTTCAGCTTCTTTGATTTAATTAGTAGGCTTAGAGTCTTCACAGATATAAAACAAAAAGTCTCAAGATCACCCAAATTGTGAATTATAAGACCTGAGAGAGGGTGTAGGAAAGAAGTGGTCACCAAGCAAATGATGACACTTGGTGTAAGAAGATGACTAAACCAAGAAGTGAAACATTTCATCCAAGTAACCTACTTTGAAGATGTCATGGTGTAGAGGAACCTCTTTTCCGCCTGATCCCTCATGCCCCTGATGTTTCTACTTCAGGATCATCCTTGCTCTATGGTGCAGTGAAAACACAGGATATATAATAAATAATATAACAAAACATATAAGGCCATGCCCAAGGCTCAACCCGGGAGGAAAAGTCCAGTCAGAAACATGTCAAGCCTAAGATGGGAGCTAAGCCACTTCTGCTGTGGTTACAAAAGCTTGACCTATATGAATAGACAAGGGTAGGCTGGTGCCTTAGCCCATCTAGCCAGCCACCTTATTCAGGAGATGCAGAGTTCTTCACTAAGACATCCATGCTTTGAGACCAGCCTCATGCGTAAGCCGATGTTTATTGTGACCACCACCTGAGAGTAGCCTGCAAACACAGATGGTTCTTCAAGTTCCACAGAAGAATTAACAATTCATGTCCTATGGAAAGGTTCCTTAGAGGATTATCTTGTCCCTATTTCATTGTTGACTGAGTAAATGTCAATTATGACTCAGGGTTTTGGATAAACTCTAATTATACTCTATGATAAACTTCATTCAAAAGAAGTGAGGCAGAGACTCTAAAAGAAAAAAAAAGGAATGGAACTTTCTAGTTAAAAAATGCTTAACTCTCACACTGTGGATTAAAATACTTCTTTTTGGAATGGGTTTTATCAACTCTAAAGCAGTCATCTTGAATGCCTACATATGATTTCTGAATAATATGAAGAAAGTAAACAGGAAGGACCTATTTTTGTCTTTCTATCTCCTCCTTTCTAGAGTCAAAACCAAGCACCTAGTGATAGATGGCATATAATGCAAGATGGATGGGTGGCGGGTGGGTGGATGGATGGATAGATGGATGAAATAGATGGACAAATTTAAGTGAGACAGGCAGTTGAATAATGGTAGAGAAAGACCATAAAAATAAGCATCATTGCTGAGATGAAATGATTCCTCTCATCCTTGCATAGGGCAATGAGGCATGGACTGAGTTAAAAAAAAAAAAAAAAAAAAAAAGGAGGGCAAAGGAGTTGCACTGACACAAGCCTAGCATTGCATTTCTAGAGATTAAACTGAAATCATTCAAGGACCCACTGCTAAAGGTGACAACTGGCTGAGTAGTACTTTATAGTGAACGTTATGTACCTGTTGCTTTCCTATATGTTTTCTTGGAAGTGGGCTGAGTACTGATCATCATTTAAAATTCTGTTTCTACCATTTCTTGGTGCAAATTGATGATTGTGTGTAAAACTAATGGGAAGATGGAAGGAATCATGATCCTGAAATAAAATTGTCAAAAAATACTTTTATTGAGCACCTACAATGTGCTCATCTCTGTACTAAGATGAAGGAGAATTATAAAGATTGAAGATGCAGTAAAACATATCAGTTAAGAATACAGACTCTAGAGTCATGCTGCCCAGGTTGAATTCCCGACTCTTACTTACTGATTGTGTGGCCTTGGGCAAATCATGTCATTTACCTGTGCCTTGGTTTTCTCATCTGTCAAACAATGGTGCTATTTGAATCTACCTCCTATGGTTGTGAGGATTTATTGAGATAATATCTATATACATGTGTATGTGAGCACTTGTGTACAAATACATATTATATTGCTTAAAATGATTCCTGGCACATAGTAATCACTATTAGAGTTTTAGTTAACATTATTTTATCTAGTTCTGAAAATTAGAGCCATCCGAAAAAGAAATAGATCCCTTTAAGTAGAAGTGAGTCTTGTATCACTAAAACCTTCAAGGCCAAGCTTGCTAGCACTTTTTGGTGAGGTAGTATCGGGGCTTCAAGCAGATGATAGAAGGGAACTCAGTGACCTAAGAGCCCTTCCAACCCAGAGAACCCCAGTTCTATGAATAATTCCAACTTAAGTGAAAGCTCAGCTCTCCCATGTGAGGAGCCGTTAACTTGTATTTCAAGGTCACAAAATGAACTTTCAGAAACCACCATTTTTCTCAACCAGTTAAAATCAAATGTAATATGTGTTTTCATTTCATGGTGCCTGAGGAAAATTTAATTGTAGCATGAACTCCAGCTCTTACTAGTTTTAAGTAAAATTGCCAAAATAAATAGAAATGTGGGATATTTCCGGGCTCACACAGCTTCCGGGACATTTCAGTTTCTAGGGCTGCCGATCCAGTGCCTTTCACAAGCATTTGATCTTCTTTCAAACATCTCTTGAAAACAAACAAAACCTCATACAGCTTCAAATGTGCGTGCTGTTAGGATGTAAGGGTGGAAAAAGAAGCAAAAAAAAGGAGTCCTTCAAGAGCCCCTATCCCCTCCCTTCACCCCTTGACCACCCTCCCACCAACCACCAACAGGAAATAATGTTTTCTTAAGTAATAACATTTTGCAATTTCTCAAGTCCATTAACATCCATGGAGAAAGATGAGGTCTATTCTCTTACTTGTCTGTGTGAAGGGAATAAGTCTTTTTCATTATTTAATAGGTAACAGGGAGCTGACTTTTAATCCAAGGGCAAATTTGATAGTTTGAAGTTAAAGTGGTGGACACCTTTGGTAGCAATAAGAAGATAAATTGTTTTAGACAAAGCAGGATGCCCTTTTATGAGGATAGGGATTTGGGGTGAATCGTTTCCCAAAATTTTTGGTAAATACAATTTCTTGGCTTTTCTTTCAGTGAAGAATTCCTCAGGTTATATGCTCATCAAAATGATTAAAAGCCCAGCTACTAACTGATATGAAAATCAGTGACAGTATTTATTGACCTAAGCAAGATAAATCCACTTGTAAAGAAGGAGCAGGTGAAGTTAACAAATCTTCAGTGGCCACTAAACTTCCAGGTCAAAAACAGTTTCTCCATCCTTAGGGTGCTAACTGAAATTTGAGCACCTTTCCCTGATGTCCACATGTTTGGGGTTCATCTTTGATGGGACTCTTTAATGCCCTTAGAGCTACCTCACTTTTATCCAGCAACCAAAAGAGATTATTTAGAAATACTGACTTATGTTTAAACTCAAAAAGAGAGAAATAGAAATTGACAATAACAGGGAAATTATGCAAGATGTAGGACAATGGACCTGTAAATCCATACCTGGTACTTCTAGTGAACGGCCAGGAAAGTTCTCACCATATACTAGAAGCTCAATTACAGATCTGATGGGATATTGCTAGATAAGTAACAAGAGCTAGAAAACATTTGGAAAATTCTTATCTTTATCTTGTTAGCTAATATGGTTATAGTCTTAAGACCCATTGGTCAGGAAACTAACTCTTTTGAAAAGTGGAAGTTTGATAGAAAAAAGAATGCATCCAACTAATTTTAATTCTAAATGTCCTTGCTGGTAATTTACAATCTATAATTAACTATAGAAAATAGTTTTGAGGAGAAAGGGATTCTTTTCTCTACTTTCTTCATGTGTATGTGTGTGTTTATGTGTGTTTATATAGTTTTGTGTTATAGCATTGTTGCAACCACTAGGGATTTGGAGTGAATCACTTTCCAAAATTATAGGTAAATTCAGAATCTTGGCTTTTCTTTCAGAGAAGGCAAATTCTTATGTGAAAACTAATCATCGTTCAGGAGAAATCACATTATTCCTTTATCTTCTCAAAGGCCCAGGTTTAATCCTAAATTAAATATTATTCAGGAAATAATGGGAACATTGTTGAAGGGGCAGAAAGGAGTCACTTTTCTTTCTATTGTATATTCTAAAGGTCCATGTTTTTCAGCTACTTCCAATCTGATCTACAGAGAGAGAGAATGGCTCTATAGATCAGAAAACAG